CACACACACACACACACACGCATACACACACACACACACACACACCTTTTTGTGTGGCAAACGCACTTTTACATCCCACTCTTATTTAGACAGTTTTCTCACTCATTCTCCATTTAATGTATAATTTTCCTGCATCTAAAAATMATTTCTGATCCCACAGAGAGGACAATCTGAGGAGAATCTCACACGCTGGACACATTTACATCTATTTTACAGATTTAAATGGAGGCGTGTCAGGGGAGGTGTCTCAGGTGCGCTCAGTTCCACGTTCCTTGGGATGTATAAAGAAAGGTGCGCAGGAACATGCGTGTGCACAGTTTTATACATCGGAGTTTTTTGGTGCGGAGCACATTCCTAAGTTTGTCCATATGTCAAATTTTAGTGTGAAAGCTGCGCACTCCTTTATGCATGAGGCCCCTGGTTTGAAGGGAAAACTTTGAGCTTAACCTGCAGACCTTACCCTAACACAAATGAAGTACTGCTCTTGAACCATTTMGAGTAAATTCACAAGCCTAGTCTCTGTAAAACTCTCAGTCTRCATTTTTAACTTCAGCAGTCATAAGTTTTATAACTAATATTTAGTTATTGAAGTTAAAATACACTATAACCATGATCACTGTTTTTTAATTTTCAAAGCTGCATATTGAATAAAAGGTAACTTGATTGACTGCACAGCTGTGGTGTCAGAATGAAGCTCAGAGCTGATTGGCTGATTCTAGTCTATCAATCACATGTACCACGTACAGGTGGGACATGAGGGGCTTGACTGACATTTTGTGCTCTGGAGAGTCTATAGATGAAACCAGCTGGTCAAAAGAGGTGTCAATCAAAAGAAAGAAACCAATCAAAATGTTTAAACAGACTATAATGCTAATTCAAAGTCCCTGGTAGCGAGGGTCAGACTATAAAGAGACAGAAAAACACCACAAACTGGGAATGTACCGCTGGTGGTACATTAAGGGTTAAATGAATAAAGTGTGTGGAAACTTGGGTGTGCACTCTGCACTCTGAAGTGATTTGAGCATAAATGATAAGTCCTACAGCAGTGAGGGATCCTGGGTGAAAGAAGACAAAATGCCCATGTTTTACAAACATAAAAAGTCTTTGTACTAAAAGGTTTGTATAAGTAAGAAGAGTTTGCGAAGTTATATAAAGCTTAGACATCTTAATTAGTGTGAAACATCATCTGATAGTAGCTAAACATTTTATGGAAAAATCAGTTAAAACTGTGACTGTGTAATAAAACATAAATGGATTGAATGTGATTAGGTTTTCATGCATGTTGCCTTCTCTGGGTTTAGGATCTTCCTCCAGCTCTCAGTACTTAAACAGCTTGCAGAAGAAGCGGAGGACAGCTAGGGTAAATCCTTTCTTCATTTAAATACTTTTCATACACAACAGACTTGTGAACCAGAAGCCTACATGGAGTTCTGTTGACGAGTTGTTCTGGTGTTGCAGTTTAAGACAGAGCGCCGTCAGCAGCAGGAAGYGTCTGTAGAGCCAGCCAGTCGACTCCAGAAGCTCAGAGACAGAGACTCTGTAACAAGGTTTGACAGAGAGGTGAGTTTATCCACAGCTGGATATGTGATCCAGACCAGCAGGAGGACTGAGTGACTCTGCTTTCCATCAGGTTGATCCAGTCAGGGCAGATGGAGGTGAGGGCCATTTGACTCTTCGCAGCAGGGTTAAGTTCCACGAGGCCGCCCCAAGTGTAAGTCCTACAATGAGATAAAAATATCAATAATTCAGTTATATCTGTATTTATGTAATTACTAGGGGTGCAACAATACATGTACCGTATCAAACCATTCAATACAGGTTCAACACTCACTATGTATCGAACAATACAGATTTTTAACATTTATTTTATCAACATGTCTTCTGAAGATGCTCTGTGTTAAAGGATTAATGAATCTGTGTTCGACTACTCCACCTAGGCTGCATTGTGGAGCACAGATCCACTGAGAAACTTGCTGTTTCAGCAACATTTAATTTAAAAACTGTACTTTTGAGGTTAAACAAATTTTTATAATTAATATAAATAAATTACAAGTTAAAAAGGGCATGGACATTTCTCTTTTTTGTATCGAAAAACTTTCAAACCGTGAGACTAAAGAACCGAATCGTGAATTTTCCGTATCGTTGCCCCCCTAGTAATTACCTATTTGTTGAACATGCAGGTAGAGAAAGACCCCCCAACTGCTGAACAGGCGTACAATTTCTTTACATTAAACYATGAACCCGATCCTCTAATGGAGTCAGAGAGGCTTGGTAAGAAGCAGAAACAGAGTGACAGCACCGAGGAGGAGCGAGGGGAAGCTGAGGTGGAAGAAGAAGCTGAAGGAGAGAATAATCAAGACGACCGTGTTGCTCAGGTAACAGCTGGCTTTTGTGTGGCTGATTATTCCTGATTGTTCTGCTTGAACAGCTGAACACATTGAGTTTTTATACTTCCTGCCTCAGAGCGAGGAAGCTCCCCTGGTTCGAGACGAAGAGGCTCTATTCATCATCGATCAATCGCCCCTAGACTTCTTGGTAACGAAGAGGGCAGAGTATGTTGGTTATCGGAAACGTCTTCAGCAAGATCGTGAACTTTTGTTCACACCGAGCTCACAAGCAGGTAAAATGTGATGAACTTCATTGTTCATGTTTGTGACTTTCAAGTGCTCGTGATGTTAGTGGTTTACTGGAACTGTGTTTTATTTTGACAGTTCCTCCCTCCATTAAACTTCCTGAAAAGATGAAGCCTCGCTTTCTGGAGGACGAGGGTCTTTACGTGGGGGAGAGGCCCACCGTGTCTTTGACCAATGAGAACATCCTGGAGAATCGCATTTTGAAAACAGAAGAGGTGCCAATAATGAACGTGTTGAATAGCTCCAATACATTGGTTGTATTTTTACCAGGGATGCACGATCTCTCAGCATTAAAGTGATCCCTGATTAGTTGTAACATTAGACTTTATTTGATAAACATATRTTTTAACTGTAAAAYAAAGACTGTAAAAATACTGTAGACTGTTTAGTTTTGTAAATTTTTAAAAATATATTTTAACACGGACGGAGCCATTTTATTTACACACAAAGCATTCTGGGTAAATGATGATGTGGATAGGTCCTCGGTGTGAGTGAGCTATATCCACCCTGAAGGTTAATCTTGGACAATATCTGATGATCRACTCTTTTAAATGAAACCAGAGAGCGTTGACAGAGAGGAGAAGGTAGAAATGACTCAGCCTGTAACTGAAAATATAGATGGAGGACAACAGAGCCGCTTCATGGAAGAAGAACCTCAGCTTAGCCTGTTAGCCTTCGCGCTAGCGCCAACGGTATATTGCCTTATATGTATTAGCTCGGTGCTAGCGCAACAAACAAGCTAAACTGAGGTCCTCCATCCATATTTTCAGTTGCAGACTGAGTCATTTTTGCGTTCCCCTCTCTGTCATGTGAATGGAGGACCTCAGTGACGAAAGGAGAATGTGTAGCACTGAGCTAATACATATATATGGTGATAGCATCGGGGCTAATGCTAAAGCTAACAGGCTAAGCTGAGGTTCTTCTTCCATGAAGCAGCTCTGTTGTCCTCCATCCATATTTTCAGTTCCAGGCTGAGTCATTTCTACCTTCTCCTCTCTGTCAACGCTCTCTGGTTTCATTTAAAAGAGTCGATCATCAGATATTGCCCAAGATTAACCTTCAGGGTGGATATAGCTCGCTAGCAGCCTCGCACCGAGGACCTATCCACGTCATCATTTACCCAGATTGCTTTACGTGTAAATAAAATGGCCCCGTCCGTGTAATATATCTTTAAACTTTTAGTTTAAAAATTATAAAATCTAAACAGCCTACAGTATTTTTAGTCTTTATTTTACAGTTAAAATAAATGTTTATCAAATTAAGTCTAATGTTACAACTAATCGGGGATCCCTTTAACGCCGGCATCGACTGAAGTTGATCATGTTTTAGCATATCTGTATCAATCTGATCAGTAAAACTGGGCCCATATTAATGTCCGATATTATTTTCCCACTTTCTATCTTTGTGTTTGTGTTTCTGGAGGGGAGTTGGTGGAGTGGTATCAGTTTGATCATGATAGTGATGCTGCACAGCCACGAATAACTGAAGTAGAGACATGTCAGCATTTGTAGGTCGTTTTTTTACGGTATCGAAAAAAGATATGTCCGTTTGTGCGAATGTGTACGTAAATAATTTGCGTGTATGTGTAATAACAGTAAATATTGTTTATCAGCAGTGGTGGGCACAGTTCCCCTAAAGCACTAAAGCACTAATAGGGGAACTAATTTCTTCATTAGTGCTTTAGGGCTTTTGCTGTTTTTTAAATTCATTAGTAGATTAGCACTGGCTAAATTTATGGGCTAAATTTAGAAGCACTCTGAGGTCTATAAATGTTATTGATTAACATTATTGTCACAGTTGAGGGTGAAAGCTCTCACACATTTTGTTTAATTTGTGCCACTTATTTAAAAGCTCATGTGTCAAACTCAAGGCTTACGGGCCAAATGTGGCCTGCAGGTGACTCCCATTTGGCCTGGCAAGGGCACAAAGTGACAACATTCTGCACACAATAAATATTGTCTCATGTTGACTGAAGAATGTTTCATGTGTCAACTGGATTACTATATTAATGCTTTACCCTTAATTTACACTACATGCGTTCCGGCTCCGGTCCGACCTCCGCAGCAAATACACACCCATTATAATCAATGAGAGTGTTTACACTGGCTGCGCACGGCAGCGGTGAGCGGACGGCGATCTGGCAAAATTAGAACAGATCCTATTTTTGCCGGATGCCGGAGCTGCGCCGGAGTCAATTTTTAAAGATTAGGTCGCACCAACAGGAAGAGGAACGAGCACAACATCCGTATTTTCAAAATAAGACACTTTTAGGCTGGATAATTTGTCGGAATAATGTCGAAATCCCAGCTATATTAATAAATATGTGGATGTATTTCTACACAAATGCTGTCAGAATGTATYGTTCTGTTTGGGAAGCAGATGGAAACATGTAACATGAAGCATATGTGTACACACACACGATACACTTGGGTTTTATTTTGAAATCAGAAGTTTCAGAAAGCCGACAGCGAGACAATTTCAACATAGATACCAAAAGCCTTTATATTGTTTTCAGCTGTGTTTGGAGTTCGTCTTTCACAGAATTAATTATTTTTTGCTTTGATTTCCACATTTATCACTGAATTTTATCGCGCGATCTCCTTCCTGCACACCCTTCTGACACCCTCCCTCCTCTGTGTGTCGGACCGGAGCAGAGCACAGCGCAGCGGACTCTGTAGGGCACAAACGAAAAGCTGTGAACTGCGCACTGCAGCGCAGCGGAGCAGAGACGCACGTAGTGTAAATCAATACGGGGTTAGAATTAACTTTTGCTAAAATTTTCAGTGTGTTAGTGCTTTAGAATTAGGGAACCTAAATATTTGAGTTAGTGCTTTAGAGTTAGTGCAACTAACATTTAGATTAGTGCTGCCCACCATGGTTATCGGCCATAACACCAGTAATAATATCTGACTCTTAATATTTATTTGTCTGAATTCTGTGTATTTTTAAGGGAAAGAAGTGGTTTGGAGACGATGGTAAGATCATGGCTCTGCCTGACCCCATAAAAGGATCGTCCACGAGACCCCCTTTGTTTCACATGGAGGGAGACCTGGATCCAGCTCTGCAGACCGTGTACAGGAAGGTCAGAACCTCTCACTTATACCAGTCCACCCGTTTGTCACATCAGACCCTGGAACTGAGGCAGAACCTTCACATGAATGTGCTCTGTTAATTAAGAAAAGAAAAGGGAAAGGTCAAATGAGCATTTTGCACAAAGTAAAAAGGGTCGAGTGTCTCTGTTAAAAGATGAAAGCGGTGGAGGAGGTCAACACAGCTGAATGATATCTAACTACATCAAAACACACTGGTTGAACACATTACATTGTCTTCAAAGTAAACAGAATTTCAGCTTTTAAATCCTTTATTTCTAATTATGATTGAGCAAGATGCTAAGAAAAAATGTCATTGCAGCCAGCAGTTTATTTTTTTATTTGAATAATCTGTTATAATAGTTGATTTTGAGGTTAATGTCCAAGACTAAAAGATAAAAGATGAATTATAATGCACGTGTTTCTGTTAGCCAAAAACTGGAGAGATTTTAATCGTGCCAACTACTTCTAATCATGATACAGGAGATGCACAAGTGCTGGCTGCACGGTTCAGGGTTTATTATTATTATTGTTGTTATTATTATTATTATTATTATTATTATTATTATTATTATTATTGAGCTGTGTTTCACCCTCAGGCACTGAAGTCCAAATATGCAAATCTGTTGCTTGCTGGTGCAGCAGACCCTGAGGGAGACTACCAGCTGGATGTTGATATTTCTGGGCTGATCTTTACCCATCATCCCCTGTTCAGCCGTGAACATGTGCTGGCAGCTCGTCTGGCTCAGCTGTATGATCAGTACCTCACCAGGCAGCACAATAACCTCACAGGACACCTCACTGAGAAGGTAAACTCCACCCGGACCCTGTTTAGTGTGGGTGTAGGGAAACCAGCATTGAAGCAACCGGAATTTACTGAAGTCGTAACAAGGTGCTTGTGTGCTTAAAGTGTTCAGAGTTTGTTTTTTCCTGTAGCTGAGTGGCTTAAGGAAGGCTTTGCAGAACATGATGAGTATCCACGGCGAGCAGGGCCTCTCTCAGGCCTTACAGCAGAGGCTTTCAGAGTACAGTATTGAAGTGAGGTAAGGGCTTCTCTTCAGTCCAGAAACATTACTGGCAGCATGACGAGCAGCGTTCCTGCTGTTTGTTTTTTCCCCTGAACGTTAGGAACACTCGGCAGCTGCGAGACACGGAGCAGGAGAAAGACAGGACTCTGTTGAAAAGCATTATTAAAGTGTGGAAAGAGATGAAGGCTCTGAGAGAGTTCCAGAAGTTTACCAACACACCCTACAAGCTCTACCTCAGAAGGTGACTCCTCTGGTCACACACCTCTGAACAAAGAAGCCTCATTTTATTCTCACTGAAAAACTATTTTGCCCAGTTTCCTTCTAGTTTGTCCTCTGATTGTTGGAATGTGTATGTATTTATATAACTCATATCATGAATTTATCATACTGTTCATCACTTCACCAGAGAGAATGTGGATCGGGTATCAGATGAGCGCAAGTTTGAAGAGGAAATCATGACAGAAGTTTTGGAGTTGGAGGCAGAGAGTGAGGAGAAATACCAGAAGGAGCTGGCAGAGTACAGTAAGCAGCTGGAGGAGTGGAAGCTCTGGAGAAAGAAACAGGTGCTGATTGGGTGAACTTWAGCTCACTTTAATTCAAAATACTTTATTGATCCCAAAGGAAAATTACCGTTCAGAAWAATCCATTCAAGAGAGAAACCAAAACAAGAAACACGTACATGGGAGAACAGGTGCCCTGGGTCCTACAGCCATAGAGAGGTGYTACCCTTGCATTGGAAAGAAGAAACAACAAACATGAGGATAACAAGGATAACCCAGCACAATATGAGTTTGCAAAAAAACTGCATATAGCAACATTTAAGCCAGCAAATACAGTGATTTTAGAGGTGTGTGTGTATCTGAAACTGTGAGAAATGACGGTTGTGTGTGTGTG